CTGCACTTTTACTGAACAAGAAAAATCTTTCTGTCTTTATTCCGTATTATTTGCAGTCTTAGCAGAGTTCCTACACAGCACAAATCTTTGATATAGAACTATGAAGGACATTGGCAAAGGCCAAGGAAGGATGGAAAACAGTCTGTTCGAAGATGAAATTGGACAAAATATTTAGTTAGATTTTGTAAAGTTGCATTTTACTAATTCAGTCTGTTTGTCACATTTGTATCAGCTTGAAACCAGAAGTACCAACATAAAGAGATTTCATAATACTACCCTGAAGCATACAAAACTGCTCTCTGTGATCTTAAGACCTTGGAGTCAGCTATGACCTGACACAAAAGAAGGAAGTTCATGAAAGGAGCAAACAGTAATGCAGCCAGAAATGTGCAAAACATAGTATAAACAGGAAGAAATTGTTGATTCTGCTGTATGCTGCGGTAAAGGCAGACAAACCAACATCTGTAAATTTTTACAGCAAATCTAGTTTAACATATGAAAATAAGGAACTGATTTTTCAGCAGTGGGTACTTTCCATTTCCAGGAGATTTTATGTTGGACATATATCATTAGGCTCTTCTGATGTTGAGAAAAAGACAATTTTAGTAGCTTTTCTAGGATTGATCATAATTTCTGTTTAGACTCTGATTCCTTTAACCACTTCACATCTTAATTGGACTCAAGTTCATGAGGTTTGTTACTTTGTTTTCCTCTTCAGAAAGCAACTTAGCATCAGTTACTGTGTTCCACTAAGAAAGCTGCAAAAGTATTTATCTCAGATGGCAAGGCCACAAAGAGCTACAATTTTGCTTTGAGTTATTTCCTTTTCCCTAAAAATGTGCTTTTCTAAAAATGTACTGCCAAAATTATTAAAATACTAGAGCCAAATTCTCTTACTAGCTGCTTCAGTGGGTTGGCTACCTCACTTAGAGTGAGGGAGAACAAGCCACTACAGAATGGCTCATCTGCAACTGAACAGTTTCTTTCTTGCCCATTATAGCCCACATCAGTCTACAGGTGTAAGCATTCTGGAAACAAATATTTCTCCCACTAAACACTTCCTTCTGAAAAACATCATCTGAAAAGAAAGTGAAAACAGAAAGCACAGAAGTTAAAAATATATGTTTTGAGAGCTAATATTCTCTAGGAATTCTGCAAAAAAAACTTTTGAGATCTCAGCATTATTGGGAGATATTGATCCAAATCTGTGCCACACCACAGGAAACTTCTATCCTTTTTCTGGCGAGAAACTACTCAAATTCAACCTGTCAGTTACCTCTCTTCATTCTTAAGGGAGTTGTCAATATTTTTGACTTGCCAGCTCTTTTTGACAGCTGAGACATCTTTATATTTTGGTTAGACATTTGGTTAGATACTATAATCTAGCTAACTATAGAGAGAAATATATCAAATAGAGCAAAATAAACCATCTTTTCACTTCAGCAGTAACACAAGTAAATCACATTACTTGCCAGAAGTATTAATGCAACACCATAAATACCTCACAGCATAAGACTTCGAAGATGTTGTAAGCTGTTATTACTGCCATTCTGAACTTCATGTCAGAAGTGAGAATAGCTTACATGTGCTTTAGTTACTGAGAGAAGGTTATAGATATTCCGCATGTGACTAAAGAGGAAGGGAAGAGATACCACAAACCAATTTGAACCCTTCACACAGTAATCTGCAGAAATTACAGGTAATGTGTTTGATTCTTCCAGTAAACATCCTTCTGGCACAACGTGTGCTGGCAACCGTTTCATTCTTTGCAGCCAATACCATCTTTACCACAGCAGTTCCCAACTGCTGCACAGCTGTCACACCTTCCTTTCCTTATTTTACCACATGCTGCTTTACTCTTTACAAGCAACAAATTCTTCCTCTTCTCCCTCATTTTATTCCCTGAGAAGACCTAGTTCTGCTTATGAGCAGTCATAAGTTTGTGAATTCCAAAGGGTATGTCATTATAGTGGAACCCATTGGATATCTAGGTCTGGTTACATATTAATAAATGCAGCTCCTTGTCCTGTCACTACAGATCTTGGCAAAATAATCTCCCTATGTGTTTCTTATAAGCCCCCTTTAAGTATTGAAAAGATGCAATATGTTTTGAGATGTTTGCAGTCCCTTCTCTTCTTCAGATTGAACAAGTCCAGCTCTCTCAGCCTATCTTCACAGAAGAGGTGCTCCAGCCCTCTGAGCATTTTCACTACCCTCCCCTGGGCTCGCTCCGATACACCCATGTCTTTCTTGTACAGAGGTCCCCAGAGCTGGATCCAGTACTCTAGGTGGGATTTCACGAGACAGGAGTAGAGGGGGAGAATCACCTCCCTTGACCTGCTGGTCACACTCCTTTTGATGCAGCGCAACTGGGACAGGAAACTGGGTTTCCTGGGCTGCAAGTGCACATTGCCAGCTCATATCTAATCTTCCATCTGCAAAAATCCAGTGAAGCCGCAATAAAGTTCATAGTTACAAGTGTTTTAATATGATTTATCTAAAGCACAATAAATAAAAATATATAGATCTTTGAAATATCACTGTAATGTTCTCAAATCCAGTAAATAAAATGAGTCCCTCCCAAGTTTGTGAGCAACATGCGTTTGTTACTCCTTGCAGCTCCTAATCTTTTGAAGAACAACATACAATGCTGCTGGCAAAAACAAATTCAAGATCACTGCCCAAATTATATGTTGTTACTGACTACCTCCTGCAATAAAAGTATAAAGAAACATCATGTGAGCTGTAATAAATGTTTACATAGCAACAAAGTGCCTTTGCTAGTGATTGCCAAAGAGTAAGCTACCACCTGCTTAAGCCAAAGAAGTGTCTTTTTCTTTTGCTCCAAATAATGTCCAGGCACTGCAGAAAGTCATGTGAGGAATTTAAATACTCAACACTCACTTAAGATTGAGTTATTTACTATTCACAAAAACTATATTTAATATAATGGGATTTTGGAGAACAGTGGATGAAACGTTTTTCCAACAATGTGACTTAAATGTCGATACAGTAAAATAAAGTGCATCCTATCCTCTTTCTACAAGGAACCAGAACAGAATACTGTGTTACTGACACACAGATGTCAAATTCTATTTCAGTAGTGAACATGAATGAGTTTCTGCAGTTCATTTGTTTACCAAAGAGACCAGATATAGTTCCTCTACAGTATTTCTTTCAATTTTCACTTTCAAGAGAAAAAACAAGGAGACCTGCTATCAAGGGGTAATTAAACAAAATGCTTTAAATCAGCATATATTGGCAGCTGAAATATTACCTTAATTCAATTAATTTTGCATCTTTAAGATTAGCTATGAAAAGATTAAGTATGAATTGGGGGGGTGTGATTTTTTTCCCAAACCCTTGCTTTTCCCACATCTAAAATACCTCCCTTTCAGAGCAGTACCAAAATATTGGCCACTATAAAAAGGGATGGGCTTTTTTTTAAGTGTTCAAGTGTAAACATTGAATCAGTGAACTATTAGACTCAAGTTATATATTAAGCACGTGAGCAACATGCTATTGCTCAAACGCATAGTGTGTACAGTACCTCCAGCCTTAGCAGTAGAAAAATCTGTGTGATTACTTTTTTTGTACTTAACCAGAATACAGTGTTCCAAGTCATTTTATTAAATTTCTATCTCTTTTTATAGAATCATAGAAACAAAGAATGGTTTGGGTTGGAAGGGAGCTTAAAAGAGCATCTAATTCCAACCCACTGGCATGGGCAGGGACACCTTCCACTAGACCAGGTTGCTCACAGCCCTATCCAACTTGGCCTTGAACACTGCCAGGGATGGGGCAGCCACAGCTTCTCTGAGCAACCTGTGCCAGTGTCTCACCACCTTCTTAATGAAGAACTTTTACCAATATCTAATCTAAAACTACTCTCTTTGAGCTTAAAGCCATTCCCCCTTGTCCTGTCACTACATGCCTTTGTATAAAGTTCTCCTCCAGGTTTCTTGTAGCCCCCCTTTAGGTACTAGAAGCTGCTCTAAGGTCTCTCTGGAGCTTTCTCTTCTCCAGGCTGAACAACCCCAACTTTCTCAGCCTGTCTTCATAGGAAGTGTTCCAGCACCCTGACCATCTCTGTGGCCTTCATCTGAACTCACTTGAGCAGGTCCACATCCCTCTTGTGTTGGGGACCCCAGAGCTGAATGCAGCTGCCTCATGAGAGAGGAGTAGAGGTATTACTCCTCACATTTTAAAGGGCATGCAAAGTACTCACCCAACTTACTATACTTCCACCACAGGGACTATATACTCATGGTAGCAAAACAAGACTCACAATAAATTTTCAAGGAAACAAGGTAAAGAGGCAGAGTATGCACATATTTGTTTCAGAAGGGTGTCCATGCATTTGAATGTTAGCTTGGAAGGCAGATAAGTATGAATAGTCAAAGGAAATAATAGAAACAACCCTGACAGACTGTCCGCAACTACAGGTTAAACCAAAGCGAAAATGCTGAATGCAGCGCGGTTTTGAATTAAACTGAGGTTTCCCTCTGAGCGTGTGAAAACGTGAATCCCCCATGAGACTTGTAAATAAAGGGTGAGATTATGTGTTTGAAATGCAAGCCCAGGTTTTGTACCATGTGGGACTCCACAATGAGACATTCAGACCCCAGGGTTTTTGAGGCACTTTGCACCTCCTGTGCCCCCAGTAGTGGAGGCTGTGCCTCAGCTAGCCGGGCTCGCTGCCCCGCCGGCACCTCAGCGAGCACAAGCTACGAAACCCACAGCGATAAACGCGAGCACCGGGCTGCATTTTTAGCCCTTCTTCTTTGAAAGATGAGTATGAACGCATAAGCCGCCGGGAACTCCGCCGAGCGCTTCCCGAACGGGAGTGTGAGAGCCCGAGAGCCGGCAAGCACCGAGCCCGCCGGGGGGCCGGGCCCGCGGCTGCGGGGAGCCTTTCCGTCGTCCATCAGAAGCGGCTCGAGGTGCCGCTACAGGCGAGCCGGCGGGGACGATTGCCTTTGGCTTTAGCCGCGGCGGGCGGGGCCCGTCAGCCGTGCGCTGAGGAGAAGCGAAAGCGAAGGGAAAGTTGCGGACTCCGGGGGATCCCCGCGCCAGTGGAGGTGGCAGCGCCGCTGCCTGGCGGGTGAGACACGTGGGGGAACGGGCCGCGTGTGTGCGCTGCATGCGTCCCGCAAAGTCCTCGGCCACGGTCTGTCACTTCAGGGCGCTGCCACGGAGCCCGGACGGGCGCTCCCGCCTCAGATGGTGGTGCCCCGGGCAAGGCAGCAGCCCCCGATGCTGTGCTGCATGCCCGGCGTGGCTTTCGTCCCCGCTCTGCTCGTCAGCTGGTCCTCGGCCGCCTTCATCACATCCTATGTGATCGCCGTGCTGGCGGGGCACGTCGAGCCCCTCGTCCCCTACATCAGGTGAGGCTGGGGCGGCGGTGGGAACCGGTGAGGTGCCGCGGCGGACACCCAGCTATGAGGTGGCGCCTCACCATGGGAAGTCCGAGGGGACAGCCGCACCGCCGGCTCCGCGGCTCCTTCCCGCCGCAGCGCGGCTGTGGGCCTCCCCGGAGGGGGAGATACAGCAGTGGCAGTGGAGGGGATGCAGAACAGGGACCCGCTGTGCTGTGTGCGCTTGACACCCATCACAGCTCCAGCACCCAGGCCTCTCTGAGAGCAGCAGTAACCAAATGCGGATGGACGTGGTAGAAGGAACCTGAAACAGTTTTCTGCTGGAGCCAAAGTACGCTGCAGGCCCGAAACTAGCAAAACTTAAGGAGTAAATGATGGAAATGTGGTTTTGTTTGTGTAACTCCAGAACTGGGCCAAAGATGGTGGCAGGTTTCAAAGCTTTACAACAGCTTTTGTGAGGGATATACACACCCAAGAAAATGCATCTTTAAAATCTCAGCATAGGAGCAATGAGTGTAAAAGGCTCCCTGAGCCTTTTCTACTGTAGAAAGGAATCTCCTTTTTATAACCTTGGTCATTTAAGCACAATTCTACATAAACAAGTGTTTATACATTGCTGATATTAACACTTAAATCTGAGCTGTGAAATCACTACTACTCAGTTCTTAGTAGATTAAAGGTAAACCAGAAATCCAAAAGTGGTTTGATACGTAGAAGATCTAAAATAGACTTTAAATTACATATTTCAAGAAATATCTAGACCTAATTCCTTGAAAGACTTTATGAACACACAGAGTTCCAGAAGACTGCTAACCTGATTTGTGCATATACGTAAATTTGATTGAAAAGTAGGATCTATCCTAAGCAAGTGAGATGGTGCAAATGACACTGCAACCCAGAAGAAAATTCACCTTCATTCAAATTGAGCCAAAGAAAATTGGGCTTCATGCTTATGTTAGCAAAACTTTTTAAGATCATCTGCCCAAATCTGGACTCGGCTCTTGGAAAGCCTTGTTCTTGTACATGCACAAATACCCTACTGCCTTTGTGGTTATACTCATGCTCTTCCTTGGTTGCATGCACAATTTTACTGACACAAAAGTGCTTGTAACCAGTGTAATTTATTCATTCCAACCAAGAAAAAGAAACCATTTGATATAACTTTGTCCAGGCTTAGCACATGGCTTGTGCTCAGAAGGATTCTTTAGTAAGAAATTTGACAGATGTTTCTTATTTGAAGCCATGTCCTTGAAGAAAATATATGAGAGAATAGGATGAGGGTTTTTTCGTATAGTTGTTTTTGCAGGCAAGTTTTTGACAGCCTGGATATCTCAGTTGTGTCATTCTATGTAAAAAGGTAGACCAAACCTATAACTCTGATGACTGTGTCACAGCTGCCTTAGTTATATCTGTCTAACAGAACACCTCACTGAAAACAAACCCCCAACATTCTTATGCTTTAAATAAGGGATCACAATAAATGTCCACATACTTTAAACCCCCCCAAGATACATGAGGCTCTGTCAGTCATTCAAAAACTCCAAATAAACAACAAACAATAACCCAGTCACATTTCAGGCCTCTGCATTTGCTAATAAAGTTTTTTAACATATGGATGTCTTGTGTCCTTTTAACACATTTGGACTAAGGATATACATTGACTGTTGGTGAACAATCTGTAATAATTCGAAAGCCACATGGTCTAAGCATATAATCTTCTTTGAAGGTGCACTTGGGAGAAATAGGATGATTCCTTCTAGAGTGCTCAGTCATTCCATAGTTCGTATGCTTATTGTGCAGGTCATTTCTTTAGCCTAAGTTGAATCATGGGATTAAGAATGTGATTTAGTGAAACTTAAGAGTGATAAAAAAAGAGGAAGAATGTTGCAACATATCAGTTGTGCAATATCTTAAAATAAACTATAAAAATTACCTAGAGCTTATACGGGGAAATTCCAGCTACAGAAAGGAGAAAAAAATCGACAAATTTTATTTCAAAGTTTCTGTAATTCTTATTTGCATTCCTGAAGTAACCAATCTGTGCCTTGAGGTAACTTGTTAATTTTACTTGTTTACCATGTAACAGCTGTCACAGTGAGAGAAAGACCACATCTAAATTTGTCATTGAAACTGTGCTAATGTCTCGTCAAGTAAACCACATAAATACATCTCTGGGTAGATAAAAATGAATATGATTTTGTGTTTTCTAGCAGCTGAAGCATAAAAAGTGGTCAGGTTATGCCCAAATTAGTCCTTTTGCTCATACTACTCACAATCCAAACTAATTTGGATGTGCTGGGGTGGCTGTTCGGTGGTTTGAATTCTCAGGGAAAGAGTAAGGGAATTTTCCTTGAGGTATTTGCTGCCAGATGGTACCTCTGGATCAATCAGAATCCCCTTAGGCAGAATTTTACCCTCCCACTTCAAAAAATTGGGACTTCAGTTTGAAGAGAAATAGTTTATGATGGCTATGAAGAAAATGTTATGATGATGAATCTTTTGGCCCTTAAATATTTATTCCCTGTCTCTTCTGACTTCTTGTCTTTCCGTTCTTCAGAGGACTGTTTGTAGAATTCTGCTACATGAGATGGATACACAAGTCCTGTCATGCAGGGTTTTACAGTGGTTTCCATGGTGGTTGTGCTCACCTATGTGCCATAGCAAATAAATGAACACATTTTTGTTTCATATGTGCCATTTGCTTTTTTCTTTTTCATGAAAGATTAGCTGTCACAAATACTTTTTTCTTTTCTTTTTTATTTTTTTTTCAAAGCAGGAGACCAGAAGCAGAACAAAAATATACCTAAGTCTTCACTTGGCTTCAGGGATTTTATAGTGGAAAATATGGCATTAAAAAGATTGTCCTTAAGGGACAATACAGCAGTGCAGAACTTTGTAAATACATTGTAGATATGATATAGTATTCTTAGGTTCAAGTTTCTTGAAAGCAGACATCTAAGATTATTGAGTTTGAAAATACACAATAGCAAAATTCACCCTTAAACTTTATTTAGCTTGGGAAAAGCTTTAATTAAAGATTTAATGGAGTTCAGTGCAATTTCATGTTATTTGGATTGCTCTTATGTTTTGAAATGTTCCAAGAACTTCAGATGGCTTTCTTTGCATGTGCTGATTTCATTTTCTTCTCACCTAAAGTCCTTCAAAAGCTTTGAAGTGATTACAGTCAGGTACTTAGCATAGAGCAGTTTCTGATTTGAAAAAGTCCTTCAAGATGGTCACAAGTTGACCACTTTTTAAATGGAGTCCTTTGTTGTATTTATGAAAGCACTCCAGAGACGTAAGGATAAGCTGTGAAGTTCAAGGTTAGAAACTGTGTTAAATGAAGCATGGATTAAGTTGATTTTAAATGATTTTAATTGTCAAAATGATTTTTAAATTAAAAAAAAAGGTTCACTGTACTGTTTTCATTGATTCCACTATCAAAGAGTAACAAGACTAATACGGAGTACAAGCTAGAGCAAGTTTCAGAAAGCATTACAGCAAGAAAATACAGATGAACAGGGATTCTTAATGTCTGAGGAGTTGTAAAAACTTGTCTAAAAGTCTGGTCCAGGCTTTTGCTGTCTGAGAATTTGGAAACAATCTGCTATAAAAACCCAACCAACAGCAACAATGAAAAAAACCCGAACCCCCCAAAAATCAAACTCAAGTTTTTCCTCTATTTTTTTGCATAGTCTTCATGGGAAAGTATTCTTCCTTCACCCTAAGCTTCCTTTCATTCTTGGTATATCACTTTAGCAACTGATTACACAAATGTTTCTGTAACATAGAAGGCATTTGAGAGCAAATATTAATTTTTAAAACAATATATCTTTTGTTATGGTCAGACTCTTCTGGCTTGCATTTAACAAAACTGTCAAAATCTTTGAGAATGATTGCTTATGTAGAGAGTGCTTTCTTGTTTGGGTGTTAAGAGTACAGCATTCATGCTGAGCGCCTGTCGTTTTGGCTGCACTTAGTGGGAGGTTCAGAAGTTTAGCACCAAAAACTAATAATCCACCCTCACTGTTGGAATGAAGAGCATTCACCTTGAGTTGCATAAACCCCCAAATTCTAGCTAGTACCTACTTGTCCCATCTTACACCTAAGTAAAGCTTTTTCCTCAGAATCTTTGCTTAGTTTCCACTGGACTTTGATGTTACCTAAAATGCTTACATGTTTTTGTTTCTGGCTGCAGAGTTCCTTGAGTGCTTCTGTTTACACACACAATCATGCCTTTTGGTACTGCTGAGTAACTGAAAACTCAGCTCACATCCAAATTACGTAAAGGCTTCTGAGTTACTTGTTTTCCATTAGCTTGACCAACAGAGTCTGATCAAATAGATGTCAACTGGTTCTACATTAGACAAAAGAGGTGATACATCTCAGTATTCTTCTGTCATTGAAGTACTCATTTTGTATAAGAGTCCTGCTTGAGGGAATATTCTCCTAGGAGTATGTCCTTCCTGCCAGGAAAGGGCATTCTTGCGGATAGGTGATGGCACATATGTAGGGAAAAGAGGGAAGAGTATTCTATGATGAAGGTACTCCATTTTCTACATAATATATATTTATATATGCTGGTTTTCATATGTATGTGTGCAGATAAATTCTGTAGATATTCTCATGCTCATGCACCATTGGTCCGTCCCAGTGAATGTCTAATTAATCCCTATAAGGGTGAATTGCTTCAGCAGAAGAGACTTACAACACCTTGGGTTTAAAGTACTCTTAAGCTGTATCTACATTAGTAAATAAAACCGTGCCTAGGATAATTCCCAAGCATTGGAATGCAGTTATTCTCCTGGAATATAGTCCTTTCAAACAAATCAGGAAATTAAGCCCAATTTTCACATATCTTAGAATACTGAGGGCCATTAGCTATGTTTTACTCTATCACAGTGTTCATTTGGCAGATAAAAGAAATGTCCTTTCTAAAATGTCATTTATGTGATCATTTATGTCATTCATGAGTAAAGTATCACTCTGTCATTTCTCTAAATATTGCATACAGAAAAAGAAGAAATACAGTTCAAATAGTATGATCTAAAAAAAAAATTATTTCTAGAAAGAAAGATTCAATACTGCAAATAGAGATTGTTGTGGTTTAAGCCCAACCGTAAATCAGAACCACGCAGTCTCTGTCTCACTCCCCCCCTACCCCCCCCCACGCCCCAGAGGGATGGGGAGGGGAATCGAAAGAATGTAACTCCCACAGGTTGAGATAAGAATAGTCCAGTAACTAAGGTATAACACAAACCACTGCTGCTGCCATCAATGGTAATAATGATAAGGGAAATAACAAGGGGAGAGAATACAACCACTCACCACCTGCCAACTGATACCCAGCCCGCCCGAGCAGTGATCTAGCCCTTCTGGGTAACTGCCCCCAGGTCTACATCCTGGGCATGACGTGCTGTGGTGTGGAACACCCCTTTGGCTAGTTTGGGTCAGATGTCCTGTCTCTGCTTCCTCCTGGCTTCCCCTCCTCCCTGGCAGAGCATGAGGCTCACAAAGTCCTTGGTCAGAGTAAACATGACTTAGCAACAACTGAAACCATCGTTGTTATCAGTGCTGTTCCCAGGCCAAAAGTCAAAACCACAGCCCTGCACCAGCTACTAAGAAGGAGAAAAGTGTGCAGCAGATGACGTTCCAGTTGTTCCAAATGTTTAAATGTCTTGTGCACATAGCAGCACTTTATACAAGCTACATTTATCTTGGGGTTTCATGTGTACATCTCATTTATGTTTCACGGAGCTCAACTAAGTTTTAATTTCTTTTTCTTCCTGTTTTAGTGACACTGGAACTAAACCTCCAGAGAGCGGTATCTTTGGTTTTATGATTAATATTTCAGCACTTTTAGGTATGTATAAGGTACTTTGTTTGAACACAACAAAGAAATGAAAACTAGCAAAAACTATCTCTCTACATTGTAGCCCATACAATATTATGCAGGAAAAAAACTACTTCTCCATACAATATTCTGCAGAAAAATTGCTCCACAGTTAAATGGTAATATCAGATAGATGGAAATATCAGATAGATGGAAGCAGTATTTAGAGGACCAGGTCCTTAAAGTCAGTAAGTGAAAGCTTAGAGGCACTTCGAATCTGAAGAGCACCTCATCTGTCTGAAGTAGTCAATGTATATGGAAATAAAAATTGGAAGAAGGAAGGTATAATTACTTGCCAAAACATGTATCTTTGGCATAGGAAGACATTTGATTTTAGGATGCTGCAGCAAAGGGAAGAACAGTATTGAAGCAACACCTGGTTTCCTCTGCAAAATGCCTACTCCTCTGCTAAATATCTGCTGGCCTTGAATCAGGAAGTTTGGAATAGTCTATTTACTTCTAGGGGATGGAAGACCAAGAGCTGTGTGTCCCTGTATACATTTAGTCCATGATGGCCTTCATGCAAAGAAAAAAAATCATATATTTTACCTTTTCTAAGAGCCTCATTCAGTCACTATATTGGTGTGTTTCATATAATCTTACGGCACCTGGACAAAGTTACCTGATTTATTTTTCCAGCTGTAAATAGACTGAAACTCTATTCTGTGCTATAGAACTGTGGAATACAGTCTCCAACTTACTGTATCCTGATGAACCATGATGTTCTAATTCAGCAGAGGTGCTTGTCAGGAGTGACCGGCATATTGAGATCACATCAGATGGAATAAAATCTTTGTTTGGTGGTTTGGGGACATTGTTGTACTAAAGAGCAGCCAGAATTGGCCCAAAAGCTTTGAAAATATTTTCTGGATACACAGTTAGTTACATTTTTTTCTATTTACACTCCTCAAAAATGTATTAATTCATCAGAGCATCCATTATAAGGAGCAGAGTAAATATCCTACTTCCAGTTTATGGTTCATTTGCCTCTAACATCTATTCCTGATGTGGAATGTAAATGCCTCTGCGCCTAAAATGCACAGGAGAATGGGATTTAAATTAGGGTTTTGCTTGTGCAGTGATTTCTAGATAGCATTAACGTGTGAAGTTAAGACTAAGATGTTAAGACAGTTCTATATGGAATAATACACGGGAAATTCACTACCTTCCTTCATCATCCCAGCAGAGTTAAAGGCAGTATTATTTTCTGTATGTTAATGTGTTACATGGCAAGGTGTTTAAATATAAGCAATACATCATCACTGAAAAAGAATCCATAATTTTTGTTTTTCAGGTGTAATTACAATGTGCATCAGATATTTATTAATAGAGAAGCAAAATGAGTCGTCGCACTTTATTAGGTCTTCATGCAATGTGTTTTCATTATGTATTGGATTGATGGGCTGTACTGGAATGGGCATAGTTGCAACTTTTCAGGTATGACCGTAGATTTCATATCATAAATGAAACTAAATTTGTTTTACCAGTTCAAAAAAATCAGAACTATAAGAGTGGCAAATATCGCAGTGTGGATACTTGGCAAATGGAATAAGAATGTTTTTCTTGCTCCTGTCTTTTTTCAGTAGCTTTAAAAAGACAGCTTTGCTTTCTTCCTATATACTAGGTCTTTTGCTTGTGCAGTGATGTTAGTAAGGGAGTTTGTGTGGGCTTGTGTTGTAACATGTCTGCACTAGAAAAAAACTTGATATAGATGATTTTGCTGTCATTTTTACTATGAAAATCTTTCTGTAAAAAAGCTTTGCTTTTCACAGTTTAGTTTGCTTACAGGGCAGAATAGCTTAGAGTAGCAAAAGCACCTGTATTTTTAGCTGCACACTACCAGCGTTTTCTACAGAATAAACTAGACTTATCTGACAGGTTAGAACATTGAGCACAATATTTGCCCATTGTTTTGAATGTGCAGGAGATGGCATAACAACATATAAAGTCTTTTGAAAGAGACATGTAGAATTACCAGTTACAATACCAGAAAGGGTAAGACATTTTATTATAAACCAAAGAAGTCCAGCCCGCAGTGTCTGAAAGAAAATTCAACAGAGAGGAAAGATATTGAAAGGTTTATTGAATTCTTTTCACCTTTTCTAGTGTGGAAGTGGGTAATAGGGTACCTTGTAACACAAAGAAGTATTTGGACCCTTCTCTCCAAACTTTAGCTCAGAATCAAGTCAAGTTTAATTGGCAGGTAGTTTGAGATACTGCCTTTAAATCTGTGGAAACAGACGAATTGTTCCTTTGAAAGGATGGCCTCCCTTGGGGAGCATTTTGGTAAATACTGTTGTGCTCATATAATAACCAGAAAACACATGGAGAAATAAAAATAAGGATTGTCAGGGCTTCAGCAGTCAATACAATTTTGCATGTAATCGACATTGTCTTTTCAGACAAAAAACTGCCTTAGACTGCTATCTTGCTTTTTTTAGTTCTAGTGACTGGATTGCAAACACTACAGGCACATTAGTCTATCTAAACACGCAATTCTACTTTTGAATATCTGTACTCTTATTGACCAGGTTTTAGATTTAGATGTTTCACCAAAAAAAAAATTAGAAAATGGAGAACAGTGTTGCTTGAGTGAAATAGAAAACAAACTCTGCTTCAATAAAGAAAAGACAAATCAGGAATGCAAAATAATTTGGGAGAGTCAGGGAAGCAGAAAGTTTGACCCTAAAGTTTCCAGTTATAGCATTGGTTCTTTTCTAATCTTTATTGCCTTTCATTGCCTGTTCATAAGCTCCTTCCTCACCTAAATTTTCTTTCCTCTACTCTGATCTCACTTTTCATGTTAAGTGCAGTTTGTAGGAAGGGTTCAGAACACAGTAAGGATCTAATCAGCCTAAGAACCCAGTCTAGCTGATTTTTGAGCATTCTTAATTGCCCAGGAAGATTGAAATGGTGGCTGCAAGTCTTCAGTCATTTAAGTGCATAGCATACTACTGGGAAACATTAAACTCTTATCCCCATTTACCATTAGAATAACTGAGACATGAAGAGGCTGTGAGATTTGCTCAAGATCAGGTGATTGTTTCACATCAGGAGACCAAAGCAAAGCTGGAATTACAAGTTGTTTCTTTAGCGTTCTGTCTAGTCCATCTAATCAGTGGGTTGTTTAGAAAATTCACATTCGTATGCATTATCTGTTTGTTTCTTAACACTTATTTGTACCCAGCAAAGTGAGCTAACACCATACCCGCGTACTGTAATGGAGCTGATTAACACTATTTGGCATCAGTTCATTTTCTGTTTCCCCAAAAGAAAATATTCAGTTTGATAAAAAGCCTTCAGTGTGAAATTATACTGGAAATATTGAAGATTTGCTTTTATTTACTCAAATCTAGTGCCACTTCTGGCTAGTCTTTTAAGTAGCGTAATTAGTTGAAGTGAAATTTTTTTTACCCTTCTTTCAGGGTAAGATATGGTAGGTAGCATGGGGGGGTTTAATGGTAGCGGTCTCAGAATACTTAGCAAAAGTGATAAAGGAGGTGAGAGAAAACACTAGTAATGCATCCTCTAAAAGTGAAAGAGTTTCTGATAAAATAAGTAACGGTCATGAATAAGGTGTTTGTTCTCTTTTTTACATAGAACAATGCTTAAAATACAGACATGAAAGACACTGAAGGGTTAGCTTTAAGAAGATAATTGTATAAGGAAGGAAAAATCCAGTAGCCATTAATGAATAAGGCAAAGCAAAAAACCAGGTCTTAGCAAGTCTGGTTTTGTCTGTTTGACACTGCATATGATTAAAGAGGTATCTTCTTGTCTTTGAGTAGGAAACTTAGAAGGCTTACTATAGCAGAAGTAGCAACATTTCCCAGGTTCTATAGAGGTTGAGTGTGATGGTCTTTTTAGGGAAACTAGCATTTTCACGGGTGCAAGACCATGTTAGAAAAGTTCTTAGAAAAGTTCTGTATAATGTGTATGGGGCTAAATACAAAAGCCAACAGTTATACTTGCTTAATACTTTCCATACCAAATCTTGTAATTCCTATATGGAAAGCAAAAAGTGGAACAGAGGAATAAAAAATGCAAGTCTAGATGAAATGTCACTTAAATACCTGTGTGAGGAACATGCTTTAAAATCTGACAGAACTTAATAGGTCACAGAGTTCGAAGGGAATGTGTAGAAAGAAAAGCATGGGAAAAAAGAGTTTAAAAGAGCATGTGAACATAATCACCATCACAAGACAAAGAAAACAGTGGCCTCCAGGCAGGAAATATATGAAAATATGTAATGAAAGAATATAAGTATGTTTCCATGAATCACTAAAATAGAAGTGTTGTAGGTCAGATCATAGCACATGTTAGCTGACAGAAAGGAGCTTTAAAGCTGATTTTCCTGTCTGATACTGGGTTCCAAGGTAGCACAACTTTGTAATTTTTTGAAACATTTATAGAATACAATAACTTCTCTGGAATCTTCATCTGTTTTGTTGCTGAATATTCTACTTATTCGTGTTTTAAAGGAGAGAATCTCCCATTGGTAGGGTATTACAAAATTATAGGCCACATACAGTGTTACTGGAATTGTATACACACTTTCACGTGTTGTGGAACTTGAATAAAAGTAGCTGATGATGTGAAGAAGAGTAGGAAGGGTGAATAACTTATGACTGACAGTGTAAGACCTTCATATTAAGAGCTTATTTTAGCTCACACTTTAAAAAAAAAAAAGTAACTAATTTTCTGCTGACTTTTCCTGGAGCCTTATGTCTGGCCATTGGACAGTGAAGGACGAACCTATAGCAGTCACTCTTTAGAACAGCTTCCATGAAACTTTACCATTAGTTAGAGCAGGGCCACACAAATGCAGATTAGCCTTTCAATGCAAAAGGATGAAAATCTTTGGCAGAGTAGAGGGAAAAAGGAAGTATAGGAATGTCTTAAGAAAAACACAAGCTGGTTCCTGTTTGTGGAAATATTAACCGGTAATAGTCCAACTGCTGAACAGCCCTAGCATGGATTTTTCTTTCATCTTCCCTGTGTAGACTGTTGGGAGAAGCGACTGTTCTCACTGCTTGTGTACTCTCAGCATATGTCTACCATCTTCTTAGGGCTCATTGATACCACTGTACAAATAGTAGCAGCTAATCATTGCACTGATTTTCTTTCCAGGAGCTGTCTGTTCCCAGTGTCCATGACATAGGAGCTTTGGTGGCATTTGGCTCCGGTGTTGTATACATTACCCTTCAATCTATAATCTCTTACAAGTCCTGTCCACAATGGAACACTTACCTGGTGTGTCACATAAGGATGGCCATATCTGTAACATCATGTATTGCTTTCATTCCCAGTATCCTTTATGGTGTAGCCCACGGTTTTCCCTTTATGTGTTCATAATCTTTATTTTAAGTTTAACCATTGCTGATAAAAGATGCAAATGAGGTTACAGTCTCTGTAGGAGTCTTTAATTTTTCTGCTATCATAATGCTTATAGCATGTCAAGACACCATTAATAGCATAAAGATGAGTCTCAGGGTCCTCTAAAAAGCTGTCTGTCTTCTTTCAGTGGTATATCTGAATCAAATGTCATAGTGTTATCCATAGGATCATGCAATAATAAAACTAGACCAACTTTCCAACCTCCTTCATTTGAAGGGCAGTACAGAGAAAAGCTTGCGAAAGGGGAGCACTGCTTCTAATATGAACCTAACGCATAGACATATAAAATACAGTGGCATACACAAGATTTCTGTCAAGCCTAAGCAAATATTTTTGATCATATTGGTCTGAACTTGCCTTCGTTAAATGCCTCCCCTAGAGACACATTCAATACACTTACTGTCTTTTCCCACAGCCTGCTGAAATTAGAATCACCCCATTGATTATATTGGTCTTTAGGTGATCTGCCAGTGTTAAAAAGTTGTTGCAGCAGATCTCATCCCATCAGCCAGCCAGCTACAGCCTGCGTTTGGTTTCAGCAGTTATGAAAGTACTTTTAAAGAGGGTCCTAGTCCTGAGAGAAAGTTGTACAAATAAGGCATCTATTGTGGACCAATGGAAGACAACATCTAACAATGCAGAACTCTGCCCTCACAGTTCTCACTCATGAATGTGTCCTAAGTTTTGGAATGCCTCCCCTTACTCTCTGTACTTCGGAAGAACCCACAAAAACCCTTATTTGTGCAGAAAATTGTTTTGATTGCTGCTATCAGTTACCTCTCAATAGTGCGTTTCATTTACTTGTCTTAATACTTTGATTTCATATTCTGTTTGTTCAGGATCCTGTGTTACAGCAGGAGGAGATGGGGTCTTTTTTTTTTGTAAGCAGACATTTTCAGTTACTCACTGAGCTTTTATAGTCTCCTTTACGCTGTGTTTTTCCCAGTGATTGTGTTTGCTTCAAAAATTTCCGTGACAAAAATTGATTGGACTCCAGATGAAAAGGTAACATTTTTCATCATTCTTTATTAAATAGTCTTTACAATTGTGATAAACATCTGGGATATGACCTGAAGCATACTACGGTCAATATCAGGTATTTGAATTGATTTCAGTCATCTCAGAATTATGGGTATGAAAGGTATATATTCTTTTTGAACAAACTTTGTCTCATGGGGCATAAAAAAGCAGGTTGAATAATGCAGGAGTGTATCCTGATGGAAAAGCTTAATAAAAGCAGACTTAGCAAATGTACTCCAACTGAACACTGGCAAGGCAGCTATGAGATAAATCTTCACAAGTTAGATAATTTCAGTAATATCTACCTCTTAAAGTTTGTTTTGGTTTTTACTTCAGATGCAAGGATGAGCAAATGTTTTTACTGAAACAGATGACATATTTGTTGATGGCATGTTAAGAAACACCCAACATTCTGCTTGTTTCATATTGCATAGGGTTTTTATGATGGTCTGCTTGAAAACAAGGGTCTTATCAGGAACTGTCAAATAAGGGTAGCCCTTCATTTTAAAACATTGTGAGAATTTACTGGGTGGAATAGTACTACTGAACACAGCGGCTCTGTGTAAAAGTCTTGACTATGGGCACTTTGATATCCTTCACATAAGAGCTAGGTTTTTTTCAGAAGCAAATTATATTCAAGCTATGCTTTGATCTTGTGCTGATTGTAGTTTTCTGATACTATTATTTATGTTGGTGCACAAGATGTTGCTTAATGGAACATAGAATCATAGAATTATAGAATGGTTTGGATTGGAAAGGACCTTAAGATCATCTAGTTCCAACACCACTGCCATGGGCAAGGATGCCTCACACTAGACATAGGCAAATTTGATCAGTATATTTACTATTCTGTAAAAACTAAATCTGAATTGACTTTTATAGAACAGCATATTTGGAAGATGAATTATAAATCACAGAATATTTGTTGGATTTACAAAAGTATATGGCTATTTTTATAGCATTCAACAGTTAATTTGCGAAACCCTTTTATCTGAAAATTGGTTTTATGTCTGATTTCATCAGGATTATACCTATCATGTTGTGAGTGCAATCTGCGAATGGACGGTGGCCTTTGGTTTTGTCTTCTTCTTTTTAACATTCATTAGAGATTTTCAGGTTGGTATCTACATATTTTACCAGTGACTGAGAAGCACTATGAATTGTAGATAACAAATGCAATAGAAAATTACCATTCTTTATCTTAGCTAGATATAGCAAAGCTATCCGGAAACAAATTTTATCAGTCCCAGAACCGATTTCTATCTACCTAATGAATATTTTTCCCCTGGCTTTTAATACATAAAAGTCAAGTTTTATAAATCGGTTTAATAGGCGTCTTGAAAATTGTTCAGTAAATTAATACATTCTACTCATTTACCAAGCTTTTTGTAGAAAGAGACCCTCTAAAGGTGACATATCACCAAAATAAATGGTGCAACTGAACATAACAATCCAGTGCATTTCAACCACAGATGTTTCCTTTCTTTTTTAAAATTAGAGAGAATTAAAATAGAGAGAACCAAATAGTCTAAGTCCTCTGGAATAAAACCAAAGTTTGAAATTAGATCATGTAAAACTTGGTAATTAATTTACTTGCTTCTCCATTTATATGCTTGATCAGCATGGAAGTGATTGATACTTATATAGAACCTATACTTAGCTTCTATAAAAATACACAGAAATCAGTTTTTGTCTAAGGATTCCAAGTTAACATATCTTTTGTTAACTTGATAGCAGAATTTCTACACCTGTTTACTTTTGATTGGTAGTACTGAATAGACCATGGCCTTAGGGCTTTCCAGTATTAAAAAAAAAACAAAAACCAAAACCAGAGATAGGTTCTGAAGAACAAAACGCTTTTGGAAAAAAGGTAATAGTTCAAAATTACTCAATGCATTATCTTAAATGCAGTCCATCATTCTCTGATGTCTACATATATAGACATCTCTTTTATCAAAAGTGTCTCTTTTATCAAAAGTGAGACTCTTCCTTTGGAGATACATACTTGAAGATGACACTGTAGTCCTTAGAGCAGCTAAATCAGTTTCTAAGTCTGCTTCAGAGCACAGATCCCAAAGTGTTCAACACTGAAAGTTTAACTATATATATAACTATTGTGAACATAATAAATAAGAGAAACAATGGAATTGAGCTAAGTAGAAATGCAGACATTTTAAATTACAGGCTAAAAATAAGCATGAAATCCAATGTTGGTGTTTGACAGTGACAGATAAAATTTTTAGATAGAATCTAAATTCTACCTGTTTTTTTGTCCTAGCCAGGGCTCACAGAAAGCCAAACTATTGATTCGGAAAAAAGAATCACCAAGCTCTAAGAAAAATAATTCTTCTCTTTTCTTTAGAATTTTTTCACAATATGTATTTCACTTAAATGCATTTTTTTATTTTATCTCATTATATTTTATATATAGAAACTGTCTTATATATAGAACTGTCAATTTATCTTCAGCTGATCTTTTTTTATTTCTCTTTCTAGAGAGTTTCTTTAAGGATATCAACAGAAATATATGAAGACTCCTGATAGTGGAAAAAATTATATTTTATATATATGAATATTTTATAGGTTTCTTTTTACTCACAGAAAATATTACAGAGGGACAGGGTTTTATAAAGTTGTATAGAGAACCCATGCCATTAACTCCACAACATCTATAACAGCATCCACTAGATCATTTTAAAAACTTGCAGCAATGTTCCTGCTACTTTTTCTGCATTTTGTAATTTTTATACTGTTTGGTATATTAAAAATACTGTAATAGAAGCAATCTGCAGAAGCACTTGAAAGTTATTCAAAGACCTAATTTCCTTAGCACTTTGCTTTTGGACATATCCGTACCTTTTCATTTGCTGTGGTCTGACTGGTAACATTAAACTTGAGAAAGTATGTTTTGCAAATAGTTAGGAAAGTCTAAAAAGAACAGAAAACACTAAGGCTGAATTCCTGTTCTGTTAATTGGCAAGGGCTGTGGAGGAAAGCGTGAGCAGAACTGGGCATCTTTGTTTCAAGACTAGAAATTTGCAGTTAGTAGATGGCAACACTATGCTACATCTTTCCGATAGTGGACACTGTATACAGATACAAATCCTAGGAGAAGATTAAACGATGCTGCTTGAAAAATGTTGTCTAATCATCACTGCACTGTGTGTTTGTAAGAGTCTACCCCTTTTCCCCCTTCATGCACTGATGGCCATAGGAAGCTTGAAACTGAAGTGGGAATAGAAAGTAAATTTATGATGTACTAAATGCACGATCTACTAAAGAGAAACCTTAGTTATAACTTGGTTAATAGAAGGCAGAAGTTTTCCAGCTGTATTTCAACCTACAGTTTCAACCTACAGTTGAAACAGAATGAAGAGGGCCTACAAAAGTCACTGGGAGCAAATGGAAAACGAGGCGGCACTATAAGTTCTCAGTTGTTCAGTTGTATGTGTATCAGTTTTATATATACGTAAAACTGAAGAAAAAAAAAAAATCCTGGAGAGCTTCCATAGTGAAAATAGGGCACATTTGCTGCTAGAAACTTACTTCTGTAATGAAAGTCTGGGAAAAGAACTAATTGAGAGGACAGATGTTACAAGTATCTGGAGGCAAAAGGCTATTCTGTGGACTGATCCACTACCTCCATTTTGTGCACTAACCACTTGGCTATCAATCAAGTTCTCTGAAAATTGCATTTGCCATGGTCTATCGCAGTTTATGCAGAAATATTGATGATTTTCAGTTGCTAATTTTCCATAAGATTAAAAAAAAAAAGTGTTTTGGAGAGTGGTGTCTGAAGACAGTCATCTATTGATATTTCCTTTAATGTGTATTTTAAACTGTATTAAATTCAGCTGTTTCACGAATTAAGGAGTCTGCATTTTCTTTATAAATTCTTCCAAATAAAAACAGTTAAAACATTTTTCACTGGCAGATTTGCTTTCCACAGTACTCAGGTTATCTTGCAGAGGTTTTCAGTTGTGATAATGTTAAAAATCTAATCTAGTACTGACTAAATGCAAACTGTCTTGCTGATAAGGTATCCTGCAAAGGGCACGTATTCCTTCAAGTGAAGATCAGAAACTCAGTAGAAAATGTATAACAACCACAAAAAGTGACATCTCATTAATTCTGAAGGCCGTGTTAAGAAAAGACCATGTGTCTTAGTGCATTGAACATTGTACTTTTATGGCTTTTTATTCCTAGCAGTCTTAAACTAAAGTATAAGGAGCTTGAAGCTGTTATTTCAAATTATGTCAGCTTTCAGTTCAACAATTTAATAAACCTTTTACATGGATAAAAGAAATTATGTTAACCTTGAAGTTCAGCCTTAACTAATGTTACTGTGTATTTACAGCGAATCATTTCACTGAAAGTATATTTAAACAGGAAAAGGATTATTATTTTTGTTCTGATTTAGGCTCCTGTAACAAGTTCACACTTATTTAATTTCTTAGTACTCTGTCCTCCGCAAAGGAAGAATTGTAGCCAGCTTACCAACCTTTAGAATGCTTAAAGTATCCTGTAAAGCAGAAAAAAAGGGTGGTTTTTTCAGAGAAAGTGGCTGAATCAAGATAATCGTGTTTGCTGAATTCAATGTGTTAATTCAAGTACTGAAGAACTACCAAAAGAAATCCTTCCCATTTTTCTGAGCTTCATTATTTCCATTTATAATTGAAAGAATGCATTATGAACAGTTTGCCTTTTATTTAATTTGTTAGGCTAAAAACATTGATATGCACCAACAGGCAGATAGAGACAATGGGTCGTTACCTTTTCATTTGTGTGGTGAACAACTATTGAAAACAATTCAATTATTTGCTAGATCCAGGCAGCTTTTCAGTCAAGATCCTAACGATTTATTTGGTTGAAAAGTTGCAAGCATTTAAAAAAAAATATTCTAGCAAGGTGCACTATTTTAGCTGTAGGTAACTTCTGTTAAATTACACTTCAATTTTTCACAACCAAGTATCTCTAGAGGTCAGTACAGATAATGCCACAGTACACTTTTGTTGCTTTGCAACAGACTCTTTTTCCTATATTTCCACATTTCTTAGCAACAAGAAATAGCTATTTTTTCATGGGAGCTGTGCAAGAAATATTTTCGTTGTCAAGTCCACATGATGTTTTCTGTTTGTCAGCCCATCGTGATTGACTCTTTTGCATAAACTACAGTAAACCACATGACAGTTAATTGTTATTTTTAGCAGTGATGCTAAATCATTTCTCTACCCATTCCAAAAGTGCAAAGCCTTGTTTTTTTCGGTTGTGCAGCTTGATGTACTGATGAAATACTACCACTGTGGCCTCTATCACACATGTAAGACGTGTTGCAAATCGTGTAAGGATGAAAATTGACTTAAAACACCTAAACCCCGCTTTGTCGTAAGGCACTGATTCTCCCACTGCTCTTGTCTCCCATGTGTGCTCAGCCAGTGATTGCCATGCACTGTACTTTTGGTTTTTCTCAAAAGGTATTCTAAATTTTCATTTCTGATCTGCTCTGTTTGCATACTGCCTTATCTGTGACAGAAGCATGGTTTTTCTGACAGTCATAAAACAATCTTGTTGGCAAGGGGTTTATTATTTGGTGGTAAAACTGGTTTCAAAACTTTCAAGCAGACTAGAGGCATTGTGGCAATATACGTCAGTGAGTTTTGAGCATTTCAGGATGAAGTTTGTAGGCATTCAAGAGCTTGGTATTTTAAACTGCTCTGTAAATACAAAGTCACAAAGTTGATTTCCTTGGAAGATGAGCTAACATCTCTTTATTTGGGAGAAATTTGACATAACCTAAGGCAATTGCAATAGGTTTTAATTTGTAAGATTTCTGTCACTTTGACTAAAATTATCACAGCTGAGTCTGTCTTTCACTGCATTTGTGTGTATGTGTCCATATGGCCCTTACATGCAATACACAAACAGCACTGACATGATGAAGCTTGACAGTGGGTAGTCTTACGTGTTGCTGTAATAACATAAATGATAATATTTGTATCTCATAAACAACAGAAGTCAATTTATGATCTTTGACTGTGTTTTCTAGCTGGTACTGTGATGCAGAAAGAGTATTTCTCACCTTTTGAAGAGAAAACAGACAACTTGTACATTTTGTATCTGTATTTTTCCCGGTACACAATAGATGGCACTAGTAGACCGCATGATCAGGGTTTATTTTCCATGTTCAGGCTAGCGAATACAATAGTTTTGTAGGTTGTTTTAAATATTTTTAATAGTCATCTGGAGACCCAGTTAAACAATCTTTTTATTATGCCTTTGTGGAAAACAAGTCAGATTTAAGTTTCCTTGCCATCCCTTCCTGCCTTAATCTAAGTAAATATGTTTTGCTACTGCAACATGTAGTTTCACAGCAACTTCAATATTTAAAGTCATTTGTCTAAATCAGAGGAGACACTTGCTGAAGTTAACACTGGCGCAAGCTGCAGTTGTCATTATTAAGCCACTTCCTTTAGGAAGTTTTTCCTACCCTATTTACAAAGAAGAGGCATTTTACTCAGTATCTTCAACAGCTTTTTGTCAGTTCTCAGTGTGTCATCAGAAGAAAATATCGACCTTTTTTCCATGAGCCAAAGAACAAGATTTTAGTATTTCAAAATTGCAACCATTCTGCACCCAGAAACAGTGACATGTGAGGTTGTAAAAAAAAATTCAAGGCAGCTGCTGTATCTAAACTCCACTTTTGTTCACATATCATAAGAGTGTTTTCAGTTATTTCCTTGCCTAATTAAAGACTTGGATAGCTTTTTTTGCATGTCTTCTGTGAAGTGTAACAATAATCCAGGCCTCTGAACTTCTGTTATTTTACCTGAAATAATACAAGTTCAGCATTTCTGGTCTTAAATAAGCCATGTTGAGCATAGATGTTCCTCTAAAAGCTCTCGTGAAATGTGGAAAGGATTTTTTTTTATATATGTAAATATATAAAGTGCTTTAAGAAAGTGTGAATACTTTGTTATTGATAGATATCTTTAACATGGTAGAGCTTTCTTACTCCACAACATGACTCCTCTCCCAACACACGCTCATAAGTTCATTGTATGTGGAAGGCGCATTTCAAAGATGGTTTCTCTGATGAACATCTAAACTTTCATCATGAGATCTGCAGGAACAGACTTTCTGTAGCCCTGCTTCCATCAGAGATATTAGCAGTTGGCAGATACTGTAAAGAGCTAACTTTCCTTCCTTTTATACTGCATCAAAGAGTTGAAACACATTAGATGGTTTTCATGGACTTTTTTCCTTTTGAATTATTCAAGAGTATTTTGCTGTGGCAATGTGAAGAAGAAGAGTGGCAGAGCACAGATCCACATCAGCTTGGTAAGGTGGTCACAGCCAGTGTCACTCGAGTGTGCAATGTTCCATACAGAGCTAGGTCAGTATGAGAAGATCATCTGTCTGCAGTAAGGGTTTTATTTCATGTTGTTTTGCTTGGCAAAGGTAGAAACACGCAAAAAGTCAATAGCTTAAAGTTATTTTTTAAAGTCTTGTGGAAAAGAAAGGAAATTCTAACCAGGAAAAAAGGAAATAACACTGCTAATGAGATATAATATGTGCCTTAGCTTCTGTCTTTGTTCATAAACGCTCTTCTTTATCTTGGTTCATTTTAGCTAGAATCTGGAACTATTTTCTGACTGTGGGTAACTGGGTGATGCAATTCTTGAGCAATACTACAAATCCAAAGGATTTTTATTTTTTTTTTTCACATCAGCCGGTTTCCTCCTTGAATATCCAAACTGAAATAACTCAAACCCCTTGACTATGCTCCAATGAAATTATCTGAAACAGGGGCTTATGCAGATAGGCTTTGTCATATCCCAGCATTTCTAGGCTGCCTCTGTTTTGTTTTGTTTTGTTTTGTCTTTTTTCCTAATAAACTGTGCTAGATTTAATTCATTTAGGTCACCTGAGAAAGTGAAAAACAATTACTTTGGGGTTACCTGTATTATTGTTTTATACAATTGATAGTCTCTTCCCCAGGATAATTTTTCAAAGGAAAATAATTGGGCTTTTCTTCTTTGCAAAAGGCACAAATATAACTTTGTACAGATTTGAACTTTAACTAGGACTGCGCATAAAAATCTCATCTTTACTGTTCAGAACTGATTTTGATGATAGCTCTTGATCATAAGACAAAATGTAATATACAAAAATTCCTTCTGATGAATTATCATTCTGTTTTTATAGACAGCTATTTAATCTTTGAAGATCAAAATTCAATAGAAAATAAGAACCTTTACTGAAAGGAAAAGTCATCTCAAAGGAGGTGATCCTGCCCCTCTACTCTGCTCTTGTCAGACCTCACCTGGAGTATTGTGTGCAGTTCTGGTGT